AGTAATATTTATTTCCAATTTCTAGGAGATTAAAAAAAAAGCCAGCTACTGATGCTTCACGCATGCTCAGGGTGAGTCTATACACACTCAGTAAAATCCTCACACAAATCTACATCAATGAAACAAACTGGTATTACTCTCCTCTTGTCATTTTGTCAGATGGAGAGGAGGACCAAAACAGAATGCTCCATCCATTTTAATTTTAAATATGATTGTCACATCGGAAAAAAACGAAATAAACTGTACAAAGGCAGAGTAGAATAACAAAAAATATTTTACTAAAACATTAGATTTAGAGAAGTTTCCAGACAAGCCATAAAAAAATGGTCACAAGCTTTCTTCTTCTTCTTCTTTAGAGTAGGGGGTGAGGAGCTGAGGGGTGGAAAATCTACACTTGACAGCAAAGTCACAATATTATTAGTGAGGGCTGTGATGTTTATTTGATGTCCCATTTTGGTTCAGACAATGAAGCTTGTCCACCTACAGAGTCTAAGGTTAGACGTGGCTAGAGAGCATACTCCTAAAAACTGGCTGGCTGCGTTTAACCACTGCAATTAGATCCCTTAAGATGGGGACGGGGAGAGGAGGCCATAAAATTAAACTACTACCCTAAAGGGTGAGATAAAAACACCTCCAGCTCTGTCAGCTAACCCTGATGACTGCTGTCATTCATGCACAGTGCTTTGTGCTCAAACCACGGTGGGGAGGTGAGTTCAAAGCAGAGTCCCTGCTCTTCAACATCTCACCACAACCCAGATGACACTTCTAGCCTCTGCTTGTGCTCTACAACAGCGAATCAGGACATAGATTTGCTAATGTGCATCTAATCACCAAAGATGAAGATGCCCGGGCTTTTATTCTGTAATGGTTCTAAGACGATGTCCATTAAATACAAACAAACAAACAAAAAAGGGAAGAAATCTTGGCAGAACAGGAGGAGTGATGTGCACTTGATGCTCTGACTGAATTAGATATTCTTCTTGGCATGTAACCTAGCCCACGCTCTTGCTGTTTCTACGGCTTGGGCTTCATTGGTCTTCCACTGCTCGGCTACATCATTTGCTAATGGATCATCAGATTAGGAGCACTGAACAAAGCCTGGATTGATAGCAGAACTGTGTGGATCTGCAGTGCTGGACACCACTTATCTTACAACATATCTAAACATATTTTTCCCAACTTGTCTACATTAGGATGATAAATTTTGGTCATGAAACATACTTTAGGTGCTGCCATTGGGTATTCTTCTGGAAGGAATAGTTCAAGTTTAAAAGTCCCTCCCTCAAAGGGGGAATTCCGGGGCCCAGCAATGACCACATGAAAATAATGGGCGTTGCTTTCATCTGGTTCAGCTTTAATGCTAGGAACTGGCTTCTGCCAGCAAACGCTGGGTTTCCTTGATGATCCGGAAGGGCAGCCCAGCCATCTTGTCAGATCTCAAGTTCAGCTTCTGCTGTTGTCTCTGGCTCCACTAGCCTCATACATGAGTGGATGTCGGGTCTCAGGGGTTTTTTTTTTTTTTTTTTGTTAGTTTGTTTTGTTTTGTTTTTATTTTTTCTTTTTCTTTTCTTTTATTTTATTAATTACACTTTATTCACTTTGTATCCCCCCATAAGCCCCTCCCTCCTCCCCTCCCAATCCTACCCTCCCTCCCACTTCTTCACTCATGCCCCTCCCCAAGTCCACTGATAGGGGAGGTCCTCCTCTCCTTCCTTCTGATCTTAGTCTATCAGATCTCATCAGGAGTGGTGCATTGTCATCTTCTGTGGCCTGGTAAGGCTGCTCCCCCCTCAGGGGGAGGTGATAAAAAAGCAGGCCAATGAATTTATGTCAGAGACAGTCTCTCTTCCCATTACTATGGAACCCACTTGGACACTAAACTGCCATGGGCTACATCTGTGCAGGGGTTCTAGGTTATCTCCATGCATGGTACTTGGTTGGAGAATGAGTCTCTGGGAAGACCCCTATGTTCAAATTTTCTGGTTCTTTGCTCTCCTTGTGGAGCTCCTGTCCTCTCCAGATCTTACTATTTCCCACTTCTTTCATAAGATTCCATGTACTCTGCCCAGCAGTTGGCCATAAGTCTCAGCATCTGTTTTGATAGTCTGAAGGGCAGAGCCTTTCATAGGCCCTCTGTGGCAGGTTCCTAGGTTGTTTCCTGATTAAATTTTTTATTTTTTATATTAATTACAGTTCATTCACTTTGTATCCCAGCTGTATCTCCCTCCCTCATTTCTTCCCAATCCCACCCTCCCTCCCTCATCTCCTCCCATGCCCCTCTCCAAGTCCACTGATAGGGGAGGTCCTCCTCCCCTTCCATCTCACCCTACCTTATCAGGTCTCATCAGGACTGGCTGCATTGTCCTCCTCTGTGGGCTGGCAAGGCTGCTCCTCCCTCTTGGGGAGGGTCTCAGTTTTTTAAGTTAGCTATTGCATGTTCATCAGAACACATTCTTTCCATTTAAATACTTATTTAAATATTTGTTAATTTTAAGAAGAATATTAGTCATATATTATAGGATAAACATACTAAAATTTATACTCTTACAGAAGCTAAACAAGAAAAAGGACCTTAGGGAAGATGCTCAATCCTCACTCAGAAAGCAAATGGGATAGACATTGGAAATGGGAGAAAACAGGGAACAGGACAGGAGCCTACCACAGAGGGCCTCTGAAAGACTCTACCCTGCAGGGTATCAAAGCAGATGCTGAGACTCATAGCCAAACTTTGGGCAGAGTGCAGGGAATCTTATGAAAGAAGCAGGGGATAGAAAGACCTGGAGAGGACAGGAGCTCCACAAGGAGAGCAACAGAACCAAAAACTCTGTGCACAGGGGTCTTTTCTGAGACTGATACTCCAACCAAGGACTGTGCATGGACATAACCTAGAACCCCTGCACAGATGTAGCCCATGGCAGCTCAGTCTCCAAGTGGGTTTCCTAGTAAGGGGAGCAGGGGCTATCTCTGACATGAACTCAGTAGCTGGCTCTTTGATCACCTCCCCCTGAAGGGGGAGCAGCCTTACCAGGCCACAGAGGAAGACAATGCAGCCAGTCTGATGAGCCCTAATAGACTATGGTCAGAGGGAAGGGGAGAAGGACTTCCCCTAACAGTGAACTAAGGGAGGGGCTTAGAAAGAGAAAAGGGAGGGAGGGTGGAATTTGGACGGTGGGATTAGGAGGAGCTACAGCTGGTGTACAAAGTGAATAAATTGTAATAATAAAAAAGATAAATTAAAAATTAAAAAAGAAGGGGTCTAATACTGTGAATGGAAGGGTTTAGTCAGAGATGGGGCACAAGGCGATGAGGGGGGGATGTGAGAGGTCAACCAAAATGAATATATATGAAAATGTCATAAGGGAATCTGCTTTTTGAAGTAAATTAAAAATAATAACGACAAATTTTAAAAATGACTCCTCCACAATTTTAACAGTTACATAGAGCTCACAGTGTATCGATAAACTAATGCCAAGCCTGGTGCACATTCTTCTTCTTCTTCTTCTTCTTCTTCTTCTTCTTCTTCTTCTTCTT